TTACTGTCCTTATCCACCATATGTCAGCTCCTTTACTGTCCGTATCTACCATATGCCAGCTATTTTACTGTCCGTATCCGCAATATGCCAGCCCCTTTACTGTCCGTATCCGCAATATGCCAGCCCCTTTACTGTCCGTATCCACAATATGCCAGCCCCTTTACTGTCCGTATCCACCATATGCCAGCCCCTTTACTGTCCGTATCCACCATATGCCAGCTCCTTTACTGTCCATATCCGCAATATGCCAGCCCCTTTACTGTCCGTATCCGCAATATGCCAGCCCCTTTACTGTCCATATCCACCATATGCCAGCCCCTTTACTGTCCGTATCCACCATATGCCAGCCCCTTTACTGTCCGTATCCACCATATGCCAGCCCCTTTACTGTCCGTATCCACCATATGCCAGCCCCTTTACTGTCCGTATCCACCATATGTCAGCTCTTTTACTGTCCGTATCCACCATATGCCAGCTCCTTTACTGTCCGTATCCACCATATGCCATTTCCTTTACTAATAAGTGACTTAGAATTGCAGCATATCGTCTCCCTCTTTCTAAACATGAAGAATCTGCAAATTTCACCTCCATGTGTGCTCCGAGGCCTCATGGAGGAGGGAGGTAGGAGAAAGAGAGAGAGAGAGAGAGAGAGAGAGAGAGAGAGAGAGTAGACTTACTGCCTCCTAACAAGCAGATCGCCTGAAACTGGGATGAATCTGCCTGAGAGGGGAGAAACAAGTCATCAAGTCCTTTACAGAACGTCACCCTCTTCACAGCATGCCCAAAAGTATCTCTTGCCCTAGCCAGCTCTCTTCACAGCACGCCCAAAAGTATCTCTTTCCCTAGCCAGCTCTCCAGCCCTATGTACCTTCAACACCTTGTATCTACTTTCGTGGTGGTCGACCCCTGCCTCACTTTTCACAGACTGCACCTTCCATCAGTCTTTCCCCAGCCACCAGGTCATTTGATGTTGCTAAAATATCTTTTCTCTGAGGGACAACCTAAGGCAGCTCATCAGTGTCTGAACAGAATAGTGCAAGAGGGAGTCACCAGGGAATTCAGCAGACACTCAATGGATATACAATCAGACTGATAATGGCACCATAGGAACTGGAACTCAGTGCTGGCTACGGAAGATGGAGGACAGAATGCTATGATATCAGTTCGTAACTAAACTCAAATACTGGTTGGGAGCTCAGAGACAGCTTCACATGGAGGCTGTATGGAAGGTCAGCAATGGATGAAGTACATCATATGGGGAGATCATTATGTAGAGGAATGAGGTTGACGCCAAAATCCCGGGATACACGTCTTGATTGCATGGCATGGAGGTGTGTCAGCACACGAACTGATACATGATGCAAGAGATCGCAGATTATGGTTATGATCGCCCACGCCAGTCGGCAAGGCACCTGATGATAATGACATAAATCCTAGACATACAAAAAGGCGTTCTTGATTCATGCAGAGCGCTGTCTCAAATACCTTGGCCTCATTAAAGGTCATAGTGGCTTAGACAGCACAGTCACGGGCCTGGTTGATGATCATGGAAGACGAGGCAGGGACCGACCAGTAGGACAGTCACGTCAAGTTGAAACATCCACAAAACACGACCCCTCCAGTAGGACACTCGACACTGAAGCAGGCATAATGATTGTCCATTACTGTCCATATCCGCAATATGCCAGCCCCTTTACTGTCCGTATCCGCAATATGCCAGCCCCTTTACTGTCCATATCCACCATATGCCAGCCCCTTTACTGTCCGTATCCACCATATGCCAGCCCCTTTACTGTCCGTATCCACCATATGCCAGCCCCTTTACTGTCCGTATCCACCATATGCCAGCCCCTTTACTGTCCGTATCCACCATATGTCAGCTCTTTTACTGTCCGTATCCACCATATGCCAGCTCCTTTACTGTCCGTATCCACCATATGCCATTTCCTTTACTAATAAGTGACTTAGAATTGCAGCATATCGTCTCCCTCTTTCTAAACATGAAGAATCTGCAAATTTCACCTCCATGTGTGCTCCGAGGCCTCATGGAGGAGGGAGGTAGGAGAAAGAGAGAGAGAGAGAGAGAGAGAGAGTAGACTTACTGCCTCCTAACAAGCAGATCGCCTGAAACTGGGATGAATCTGCCTGAGAGGGGAGAAACAAGTCATCAAGTCCTTTACAGAACGTCACCCTCTTCACAGCATGCCCAAAAGTATCTCTTCCCCTAGCCAGCTCTCTTCACAGCACGCCCAAAAGTATCTCTTTCCCTAGCCAGCTCTCCAGCCCTATGTACCTTCAACGCCTTGTATCTACTTTCGTGGTGGTCGACCCCTGCCTCACTTTTCACAGACTGCACCTTCCATCAGTCTTTCCCCAGCCACCAGGTCATTTGATGTTGCTAAAATATCTTTTCTCTGAGGGACAACCTAAGGCAGCTCATCAGTGTCTGAACAGAATAGTGCAAGAGGGAGTCACCAGGGAATTCAGCAGACACTCAATGGATATACAATCAGACTGATAATGGCACCATAGGAACTGGAACTCAGTGCTGGCTACGGAAGATGGGGGACAGAATGCTATGATATCAGTTCGTAACTAAACTCAAATACTGGTTGGGAGCTCAGAGACAGCTTCACATGGAGGCTGTATGGAAGGTCAGCAATGGATGAAGTACATCATATGGGGAGATCATTATGTAGAGGAATGAGGTTGACGCCAAAATCCCGGGATACACGTCTTGATTGCATGGCATGGAGGTGTGTCAGCACACGAACTGATACATGATGCAAGAGATCGCAGATTATGGTTATGATCGCCCACGCCAGTCGGCAAGGCACCTGATGATAATGACATAAATCCTAGACATACAAAAAGGCGTTCTTGATTCATGCAGAGCGCTGTCTCAAATACCTTGGCCTCATTAAAGGTCATAGTGGCTTAGACAGCACAGTCACGGGCCTGGTTGATGATCATGGAAGACGAGGCAGGGACCGACCAGTAGGACAGTCACGTCAAGTTGAAACATCCACAAAACACGACCCCTCCAGTAGGACACTCGACACTGAAGCAGGCATAATGATTGTCCATTACTGTCCATATCCGCAATATGCCAGCCCCTTTACTGTCCGTATCCGCAATATGCCAGCCCCTTTACTGTCCATATCCACCATATGCCAGCCCCTTTACTGTCCGTATCCACCATATGCCAGCCCCTTTACTGTCCGTATCCACCATATGCCAGCCCCTTTACTGTCCGTATCCACCATATGCCAGCCCCTTTACTGTCCGTATCCACCATATGTCAGCTCTTTTACTGTCCGTATCCACCATATGCCAGCTCCTTTACTGTCCGTATCCACCATATGCCATTTCCTTTACTAATAAGTGACTTAGAATTGCAGCATATCGTCTCCCTCTTTCTAAACATGAAGAATCTGCAAATTTCACCTCCATGTGTGCTCCGAGGCCTCATGGAGGAGGGAGGTAGGAGAAAGAGAGAGAGAGAGAGAGAGAGAGAGTAGACTTACTGCCTCCTAACAAGCAGATCGCCTGAAACTGGGATGAATCTGCCTGAGAGGGGGAGAAACAAGTCATCAAGTCCTTTACAGAACGTCACCCTCTTCACAGCATGCCCAAAAGTATCTCTTCCCCTAGCCAGCTCTCTTCACAGCACGCCCAAAAGTATCTCTTTCCCTAGCCAGCTCTCCAGCCCTATGTACCTTCAACACCTTGTATCTACTTTCGTGGTGGTCGACCCCTGCCTCACTTTTCACAGACTGCACCTTCCATCAGTCTTTCCCCAGCCACCAGGTCATTTGATGTTGCTAAAATATCTTTTCTCTGAGGGACAACCTAAGGCAGCTCATCAGTGTCTGAACAGAATAGTGCAAGAGGGAGTCACCAGGGAATTCAGCAGACACTCAATGGATATACAATCAGACTGATAATGGCACCATAGGAACTGGAACTCAGTGCTGGCTACGGAAGATGGGGGACAGAATGCTATGATATCAGTTCGTAACTAAACTCAAATACTGGTTGGGAGCTCAGAGACAGCTTCACATGGAGGCTGTATGGAAGGTCAGCAATGGATGAAGTACATCATATGGGGAGATCATTATGTAGAGGAATGAGGTTGACGCCAAAATCCCGGGATACACGTCTTGATTCTAAAAAATTGAAGTAAAACAATTGTTGAAACACCCACAACTAAATCCTTACTGTGTTCACCCTTGAAGTGGCAGCTGGCACATTGTGTTTTGGTTTATACCTGTCTGCACTTTTTTGGCCCAACACACTGTTTCGGCGAACTCCCAGTTGGTCCCATTTTACAACATGCCTGTTAAGGAAGCAGTGTGTCTACCCCCACCTGGTCCTGAAACTTCACATCTGAGTACCACATCTTTCTTCTTTGTGCTCACCGACTGTAAACTCTGGCAGAAAGTGCTGACTGTTCATTCACGTTGGTCTTTATTCAGAACTTGAGTTTTGTGCACACATTTTATAGATCTGGCTAACTTGTATGCAGACTGTTGGTTCCATGCCTCTCAAGCAGATGCTCTCTGACTGAAGGAAACACATCTAGTCACCTTTTACATGCTTGCTAGGGATGGAGGAGGCAGCGGGTCTATTCTCCCCGGCCCCCTCCCTTAATGGGACCCCAAACCCACACAGGGAGAGTACTAAATAAAATCAGGTTTCAAAATTTAAAACATTTATTATAAAAATCCAATCAGGAACCAATACCCAAGGGTGCAGTCATCTGTCAACAGCGAGATGACAAATGATCTCACACATGTGATTTCAGTGTTTTATCCTATGGAATCACAGAGCAAACAAATTTAAAACAAATTTTTTTCAATTAAAAAAAAGACCAGAAAAGAAAGACAGACTACATACAAAATTTATTACATTCTTTATTAGACTGAGAGAGCAGCAAAATCGCAGTTAAAAAAAAAAACATGAGGAAACTTACAAAAATTTAATACACTGGCAGATTTTTAGCTTTCATCATCCAAATCTAGGTTAATATTCGAACCAAATTTGGCATATAGTTGTGTCTTGAGTTCACCAAGTATTTGTTTGTGACTTTCTGCATTTTCTTTCAAAGCTGCAATCTCTTCCAGGCAAGTCTCCTTGGCCTTCTCCAGTGCAGCCTGGGCCTCCTCAATCGTCATCTCTACAAGAACCTCGCCGATCTGATATGTGCAGGGCGGTTAAGGATAAATAAATATACCACAAGAATGTTACTCGCTTGGATTCATACAGATTTCAAAGAGATGGTTGACTTAAATACAAGGTTTTATCCCACATGGCTTGATCTCTCGCCAGAGAATGGACAACAATGCACAAAACATGAACTCCATAGCTCCAGAAATCTTCTTCTTCCCCTGCTGTAAACTCTGGCGAAAAGTTCTGGTTGTTCGTGTACTTCTGTACTGCAGTCCTGTTCCAGAACTTGAGTGTTGCGTGTGCATCCATTTGACAGATCTGACTAATTTGTATGCAGACTGCTGGTTCCTTGCCTCTCAGGCAGATGCAGTCCGACTTTGAAGGAAGCTCCCAATCAGTCGACTCTTACGACATGCTTTTGGGTAGGCAGTGGGTCTATTCTTGTTTTCCCTATAACAGGGCCCCGGAACCCGCACGGGAAACTCCAGAGATGATGCCTGGAGATATTAGAAAAAACTGAACTCACGAACCTTTCTTCTTTTTGATGTTTTTTCTTCACTTCCTCTTTTAGCTCTTGTGGGGTCGAGGGAGTTAAAGGGTTCTGTTTCTTGCCACCTCGACCACAGATACATCGTGCAGTTGTAGAGTAGAGTTTCTCTGATGTTATCTTTCCATTATGTTCTTGATCTACCTCCTTCTCCTGTTGCATGCCTTGCATGGTATGGTATAGTCTCAACCGACACTTCCATTAGAAACACAAGTAAATAACAAACCCCCACTCAACCATGTACAAAGGATATGGTACTGTATCGCTGTCAGCATCCAGCAACATGATCTCCTCTTCTGCGTACGTGAGGTTCTCCAGCTCCTTCTGTGACAAATGAGCAACAATAAATTTACTTCTGACAAAATGTAGCACATAACTATCAATACATTAAAAGTGATTAGACACAAACTTTGACGTTGGATAGGACACACACTGAGAAAACATCAGAAAAATATAACTAGAATGTCTTTGTACTGAAATACACAGGCAAACCAAAAAATACACGGAGAAGGGAGCTAGAGAGTAAAATTAAACAAGTGGGGAAAACAAGGGGTGAGCTGCATGCAACAGTGAAGGACAGAACAACTTGGCGTGAGTTGGTTGAGGGCCTATGTTTCATTGGGGAACAACTTGGCGTGAGTTGGTTGAGGGCCTATGTTTCATTGGGGAACAACTTGGCGTGAGTTGGTTGAGGGCCTATGCTTCATTGGAGAACAACTTGGCGTGAGTTGGTTGAGGGCCTATGTTTCATTGGGGAACAACTTGGCGTGAGTTGGTTGAGGGCCTATGTTTCATTGGGGAACAACTTGGCGTGAGTTGGTTGAGGGCCTATGTTTCATTGGGGAACAACTTGGCGTGAGTTGGTTGAGGGCCTATGTTTCATTGGAGAACAACTTGGCGTGAGTTGGTTGAGGGCCTATGTTTCATTGGGGAACAACTTGGCGTGAGTTGGTTGAGGGCCTATGTTTCATTGGAGAACAACTTGGCATGAGTTGGTTGAGGGCCTATGCTTCATTGGGGAACAACTTGGCATGAGTTGGTTGAGGGCCTATGTTTCATTGGGAAACAACTTGGTGTGAGTTGGTTGAGGGCCTATGCTTCATTGGAGAACAACTTGGCGTGAGTTGGTTGAGGGCCTATGTTTCATTGGGGAACAACTTGGCGTGAGTTGGTTGAGGGCCTATGTTTCATTGGGGAACAACTTGGCGTGAGTTGGTTGAGGGCCTATGTTTCATTGGGGAACAACTTGGCGTGAGTTGGTTGAGGGCCTATGTTTCATTGGGGAACAACTTGGCGTGAGTTGGTTGAGGGCCTATGTTTCATTGGAGAACAACTTGGCGTGAGTTGGTTGAGGGCCTATGTTTCATTGGAGAACAACTTGGCGTGAGTTGGTTGAGGGCCTATGTTTCATTGGAGAACAACTTGGCGTGAGTTGGTTGAGGGCCTATGCTTCATTGGGGAACAACTTGGCGTGAGTTGGTTGAGGGCCTATGTTTCACTGGGGAACAACTTGGCGTGAGTTGGTTGAGGGCCTATGTTTCATTGGGGAACAACTTGGCGTGAGTTGGTTGAGGGCCTATGTTTCATTGGGGAACAACTTGGCGTGAGTTGGTTGAGGGCCTATGTTTCATTGGGGAACAACTTGGCGTGAGTTGGTTGAGGGCCTATGTTTCATTGGAGAACAACTTGGCGTGAGTTGGTTGAGGGCCTATGTTTCATTGGGGAACAACTTGGCATGAGTTGGTTGAGGGCCTATGTTTCATTGGGGAACAACTTGGCGTGAGTTGGTTGAGGGCCTATGTTTCATTGGAGAACAACTTGGCGTGAGTTGGTTGAGGGCCTATGCTTCATTAGGGGCTAGAAAGCATAAGAAAAGACAACGTACTGTGTATATATATATATATATATTTATATATATACAGTACGTTGTCTTTTCTTCTATATGTATGTGTGTGTGTGTATATATATATTCACCATTTTCACTTTAAACCGGACACTTTTCAAACCATCTAGGAGGATTTTCAAACCATCTAGGACGTTTTTCAAATCAAACTGGATGATTTTCACACCACCTAAGACATTTTTCAAATCAAACCGTACATTTTCGAAACCAAACTAGATACAATTAAAGAAACATTTTTAATGCCTATATCTGAGGATACGCTGAAACTTTTGAGATGTTCTGGAACACATATTAAGTAATTCTTTCTGGAATGTTCTCTTGTGATATCTGCATATAAAGGAATGTGCTTTCATCCGTTTATTGTACAGTCTTGGCAATAAACCTCACAACAATGCCCTTTTGAGGCAACGACCACATAAGCAAACTTCTTAAATGCATTAAAAGGTTCTTATTAAGCTTGTGTTAGTTGATCGAAAAACTGCTCACGAGGCAGCTTAACGAGAGCAAAGCAACAAACATCATCAGCCTACAAACGAGAAGGTGCCATTTTCCAGTGAAACTGCAATGGAAACAACAAAGAGAAGCTGACATCCAACGTCCTGCAGCGCACTGAAGACATCACTGAACAACACCCAGATGATAGTTTGGTGAAAACATGCCTCTACTCCACTTAATGAAGGACCCTTTTTTACACATCTGACATATAGTACTAGACCTCTATTTTATATAGACCAATCGGCGCTCAATATGTGCTGTTTTCAGCATCGTGCGGACTTCCCACAACACTACCTGGCACCCATTTTAGGCGGAGTAAATCTGGGAGCCAAATTACATAAAAAAATAAAAAATTCTTCTGGATGCAGATTTAAACACTAAGCGTTCTGGCCGACAGGTCAGCATCTAGTCACTACGCTACATCACCTCCTCCCCCCAAACCCTAATGCTTCTGGCCGACAGGTCAGCATCTAGTCACTACGCTACACCACCGTCCCTCTCCAAACCACAAATTACCTCTTTCGCAGAAAGTTCCTCTTTCACATCCACCAGACGAGCATTAGTCCTTGCAAATCTATTGATCTTTTGTTGATCTTCAAATGTGACATGAATGTCACCCTAAAACAAATCCAGCAGTCAAATTTTACAAGGTAAATAAACAGGTAGGTTGGAGAACATCATGATGACAGTGGGAAAGTTGGAGGGGGAGAGAGGCAAAGGGGGAAGAGAGGCAAAGGGGGGGAGGGGAGAGGCAAAAGGGGGAGAGAGGCAAACAGGGGGGGGGGGGAGAGGCAAAGGGGGGAGAGAGGCAAACAGGGGGGGGGGGGAGAGGCAAAGGAGGGAGAGAGTCAAAGAGGGACATCATGGCATAGAAGATCATCTTTGTCAGAACTTCTTCTTCTTCTTTGCGTTCACCAGCTGTAAACTCTGGCGGAAGGTTCTGGTTGCTCGTCCACTACTGAACTGCAGTCCTGCTCCAGAACCTGAGTGTTGAGTGTGCATCAGTTTTACAGATCTCATTCTCTTGAATACAGACTGTTGGTTCCTTGCCCCTCCGGCAGATGCACTCCGACTTCAAAGGAAGCTCCCCAATTAGTCGACTCTTACGACATGCTTTTAGGGAGGCAGTGGGTCTATTCTTGTTTTCCCCACAATGGGGCCCCGGAACCCACACGGGGGTTTGTCAGAACTGACAAAGTATGTGAGACAGAGCGCTGACGTTTCATGATGTAACACTAACTAACGCTATGTTACTGACATCATAAATACTGACATGACAGTTTGTCACTGTCTGTGTCAACTATTGGTGTGTGAGTGTCGTTGCTCTTGCTTAACTGAAATACTGAGAATGCGTGTGTCTGGTTGGAGGGGGGGGGGTGTTAAACTTTGGTGAAATGAAATATTGACAGTGTGATTTGTGTTTGCTGTGTTGTGTTGAGTTGAGTTAAGTTAGTTAATTAGGGGATTTTTAGATTTTCTTGAGGAAAAACTGCTCATTTCACCTCAACATTTGTTGTTTGTTAAATTAAATTGTTATTAATATAGTAGTTACAATTTAAATAAAACACATATTATAGAACTTAAGATATAACTCATCTGTTATATAAATTAGAATAGCGTAATCAACATATCTGAAACATTCCTGGACTCACGTCTTTTACTGTGGCGGCCATCTTGAGATCAGTGGATAGATTACTTTGTACTGCTAGGCATGCCAGGATGTATTAACCAGGTCCGGCTGTAATATATAAATAGAGAAGGCCGTGGTATTAACTTATTCTTGCCGTCGCCTTTATCATCACCATCATGATCACCATCATCATCATCGCCACCAACACATCATCATTATCAAATGACCGGTTTGAGAAGGTCGCTCTGTTCACCATTCTCCAGGAAGACTCTAGCTGTATTCCATTGTTTCTTTTTTTGCCCAGTTTCTCAAAACTACTGACTATCGATTGCTCTCTAGAATTCGTGTCTTAGACCAATTTAAAACTTTATTATATCATTTCAACTGTCTGAAGAATTTTTAACGTGCTCCTGCTTAGGTAGACTTTTTGGATAGTAATTTCCTGTTTGCTAAATGATTTTCGGCCGTATTGTAACACTGGCTATACGATGGTGTTGCCATACGTTCACCATTTCTTCAGTGGATGTTATATATAACATGTATATATTTTTTTAACCTTCATGTAATTTATTTTTTATTTTGTGTGTGTTAATCTTTCCTCTTGGGGTTCATATCTGATGGTTCGTTGCCACCTGTTTTAGGTCCTGGATGTTCATTAGTCCCATGGTTTAGTTAGTCGTTACGGTCTGATGGTTCGTTGCCACCTGTTTTAGGTCCTGGATATTCATTAGTCCCATGGTTTAGTTAGTCGTTACGGTCTGATGGTTCGTTGCCACCTGTTTTAGGTCCTGGATATTCATTAGTCCCATGGTTTAGTTAGTCGTTTCGGTCTGATAGTTCGTTGCCACCTGTTTTAGGTCCTGGATGTTCATTAGGCCCATGGTTTAGTTAGTTAGTCGTTACGGTTCCGGCATCACAGCAAACGAGCGTGGCCCATAATTACTCAACAGCCTGTGCCAGTGATCCCAGTCAAAAACTAAGTCAGATGCGCTGGATACTTCAAGTGAATACAATAGCCATACAAAGTGTCCTCATTCGGCAAAACACATATGATTTGATCTGGCAAACCATAAGGTGCATGCCTCCTTAAACACACTGCGAGAACAGGCGTCGTCGCTGAAAATAAACTTATTTCGACGAATAGCTGGGGGATGAGTAGATTAAAACTATTCCTGACTATTCTCCACACGTCTTCGGTCAAGTTGCAGCCACGGCCAGCAAATAAATAGCACGGGCCTTGTCCCAGGAACACATCGAAGAAAAATGCATCACCAATCATTGCCATTATGTACAAATCTGGAACTCAGTCAATAACCGATTATCACAGCTCATAGTGCCTCCAGGAGCACTCAACTGAGTAGCTCCGGCTGAAAACCGGACTTCCACAATCTTGCGCCATCGAAACTGGAGAAGAAACGGCGACGAGAACGGTCAACATAAGCCAAGTTCTCAACCGTCACCCATTCCCTTTCTTTAGTTGACTCCTCTAATCCCCTTTCTACCCATCCCCGCCTCTTCTTGTTGGCCTCCTGTACATTGGTTACCATTTAAACCAGTATGGTAAATCGATACATGACGGGTTAGATGCGGTCAAGGCCCTTTGGAAATCTGGTCGATACTCAACTTACAGAAGAAAGTCAAGACGGACATAGAACCACACTGCTACACCTAATTGTGGAAATGGACTTTTCGCTGGCTGCTGGGTTAAAAAAAACGTTGTTTCCTTTACGATTGCAGTCTGTAAGATTAAACACCCCATGGATGAGAATCAGATCGGTACAAATCGTGGAAGCTCCATTCAACAGTTTAACACCGTTATATTGGACCCCACGGTAATTTCTTATTAGCCGACCACAATCAGGGGAAATCCACAGGACACGGGACAGTCAAATATTTCAGCAGGTGGTAAATTAAGCGTATAGTTTTTTTTTTTAGGGTTAAGGTTAGGGTTAGGTAAACATGCGAGAACCTCGGCCCTAGAAGAAACGCGCTAAACCAGGGAAACCCCGCCCATACCACCCTCTAAAAATGAATGTTGAATTAGGAATCGAGGTCACAGCACTCAAGACACTCGCCACACTCTAAAATATTGGACTGTCCCGTGACCTCATTTATGGTTGGCTAGAAAGAAAGAACCGGCACAGCAATACGATTGTAAGGTAACCTGCAGTCCAGTGTTGGATGAGTTGTATTTGTGGCTGCTGAAGATGGGGACATGGCATTTTTGGGAATGCCCCTAGTGCTGTGGATGTCGGTTCAAATTAACGCAATTTTAATTCTATCTAAAAGCTGGATTAGATGTAATTTACATATGTTATACTAAATTTACTTAGTAAAATTGTACATTTACGTTGTAACACAATAAAAATAAGGATTATAATTCAGATTTTGAAATTTCTGTTGATAAAAATTTTTTATAACAAAAACTATTGGTTGAATTAGACAATACCAATTCTTGTCCAGGTATTATTGACCTTTGACCTGCTTTGACAACAGGGCATTGTTGGCAGACGACTGACAGACATGGACGGGTTTCAGTCTCTATCCTGGTAGGCAGTTTATTTTGAGAACTTTTATTCCACCAAACGATAATACATCAGTCGTCTGTCGGCCCGAAGAGGAATAGCAAGTGGCCCTAGGACCTTTGCCAGTTGTATATTGTATTATTATAATATAAATGCTCGTTCTGTGCTAGGGCTCCCCGGTCCGTGACGTTCCCATTTTCAATATTTTGGTTCCTGAGTAAAGAATAGCCCTATGATACAGATATATCATATATAATATCTTTGTGGGCTATCCTCCGAATAACGGTCCTAAATTATCGAGGCCGAAAATATACCCTAACAGGGCCTCTGTCACATGTAAATTACGGACTTCCACCACCGCCGTGCGTATCTCCCACGCCGCTATGCGCGGCGTGGATTGGGGCTAAACTAGATGCCTGGGACTCACGAGCAGCAGCTACCGCAGCTCATGCAGCTTCCTCCATTTTATTTGCTCGTCAGGCCCAGCCATCTAGTTTAGTCCTGCTCTGCGCCGCGCGTAGCAGCGCGGGAGATACTCTTCGGCGGTGTGCTGTGTAGTTGCCGGAAGAGGTCCGCAATTTACATGTGACTGAGGCCTTGTTAGGGTATATTTTTGGCCTCGATAATTTGGGACCATTATTCGGAGGATAGCCGAGTCTGGTCTTATCCATTCTTTTTAGCCCTTTTCTTCTTTTTCTGTCTCTTCTTCTACGATATGTTATTTGTTTTCACTAGCACAGGAAGGGAGAAACTTTGGGTTGACCGTTTACTGTGAATGTGCAACTGCGATTAACTTAGATTTATTGTCATGTATAAATTATTTTTGATATTTTTTCTGGGAGATGGGGAAATAAACAGGCAGACAGATTGGCTGGTTTTGCACTAGTTTGGTTTTGAATTTGTGCAACAAACAAGCTAGATGTGGTCAAGGCTCTTTGGCAAGAGTGAAGAATGCAGAGGCACCAATTACGGTCTGGTGAGAATAGTAAAACTGGGAATGACTAGGGGATCTGGTCGACATTCTACACTCACAGGAGACAATAGTAGAGCTGGGGGCTCTCCTGTCAACTTAGGCCGTTAGCTGGAAAGCCGCCGATCGCTTAGTGGGAGTTCTCTCCCTTGGCTGCATTGCGAACACGGGGCGGAAAAGTCACGAATTAAATGACATACTTACCTATCATCATACGGTTGCGTGTACGTTGCGTAGTCATCATACGATTGCGTAGGGTGTAGGGTTTGGGTTGGCGCCGTTAGGGGTTGGGTTGGCGGCGTTAGGGGTTGGGTTACGGTTAGGGTTAGGGGTAGGGTTAGATGTGACAATTTTGACGTAGGAGTTCCAAATACTGGCCGACAATCTGATGCTTGTGGGAGTGGCGCCACTGGAATTCTCCCAAATATGACGGCAATAGCACGCAGTTGGTGCCCCATCGGTGGCGAATTATCCGTTTGAGTAGCATCCACAGTCCGTCAATTGTTTGGGTGTTTATGTGACTGTGTGCGATTATTCGGAACTCCTGCGTCATAATTGTCACATTTAACCCTAACCCTAACCCTACCCCTAACCCTACCCCTAACCCTAACCCTAACCCTACCCCTAAACACGCAAATTTATCGGCGGTCATTAAGTCATACAGATCTGCAGGAGTCCCACCCGTGGCAACTAATACCACGTTTATATAAGGGTATATTTACTTTAAAAAAGCCCCAGATTTCCCCGAAGCGTCAAATAAACACCCAGATCTGGGGGACACACCCAAGCATTGGCAGCCCTGTTGTCGACCTCACTGCCTGTTTTGATTCGTGACTTTTCCGCTCCCTGTTCGCAATGCAGCCAAGGCAGAGAGCACCCACTAAGCGATCGGCGGCTTTCCAGCTAACTGCCTAAGTTGACAGGAGAGCCGAGCTGGGAGTGACCAGCAGATCTGGTCGACACTCTACACTCACAGGAGACAATGGTAGAGCCGGGAGTGACCGGGGGATCTGGTCAACACTCTACACCCACAGGAGACAATGGTAGAGCCGGGAGTGACCGGGGGATCTGGTCGACACTCTACACCCACAGGAGACAATGGTAGAGCTGGGAGTGACCGGGGGATCTGGTCGACACTCTACACCCACAGGAGACAATGGTAGAGCTGGGAGTGACCGGGGGATCTGGTTGACACTCTACACTCAGAGAAATAGACAAGACGGACTCATAATCAAACTGCTACTGGCACCCTCAGAATTGCATCTTTTCACTGGCTGCTGAAGATGAGGAAGGAGCACTTATGGGAATGTTGTGAGTGCTGTGATATCAGTTCTAAGCTCAACACTGAACACATTTATACATGATTTCACCTGACATAGTTTTCATTGTTTCCTCTGTATATGAGTTTCTCGAGTTTATGAGTTTTCATTGTTTCCTCTGTATATGAGTTTCTCGAGTTTATGAGTTTTCATTGTTTCCTCTGTATATGAGTTTCTCGAGTTTATGAGTTTTCATTGTTTCCTCTGTATATGAGTTTCTCGAGTTTATGACTGTACGTTGTCTGTGTGTGTGATCATTGAGTATGTGAACAAGCGTACATTACAAGTGTCCACTTAATGATAATTTCAGAGAAAGGATCGTCCCAGCCCTAATACATGGGTCCAAGGCAGGAATCATCCACAGTTTTATTCTGGACTGTTAGGTTTGAGTGATGTCCATTTTTCTCTGTACATTTGAGGCACCGATGGTTGTGGCTTTTCTCCATTGATGTAAGACGTATGTGATTTTCTAGACATGGGCAGAAAGGATACAACTGCACAGCAGAGTCAGCCGCTGGATCAGTATCGCAAACAAATAGGTCAGTATCTGAAATTGTATGACTTTATGTTCAGTGTCTGTTTGTTTTCGCCATTGTTAATTGTATTTTTAGTTCCCCATGTGGGTTCCGGGGTCCCATTGTGGGGAAAACAAGAATAGACCCACTCCCCTTCCCAACAAGTATGTCGTAAGAGTCGACTAATTGGGGACTTCCTTTGAAGTCAGAGTCCATTAACCCCAGTGGCAAGGAACAACCAACTGCACACAAATAAGCCAGTAAAACAGGTGTACACACAAAACTCAGGCCCTGGCACAAAGCCGAAGACCAAATGGATGAAAAACCAGGACTTTCCACATGAGCTCACAATTCGTGAACACAGAAAAAGAAAGAATTGTATTTTTTGGGGTCATGTCACATACAAAAAGGGATTCTGTTTTATATTTTTGCTGTTGAGAAGCGGATGTAGTTGCACTTTACAAATTGAGGTTATTGTTGTGCTTCTAAGGTCATATGTATATTGGATGAACCAATTAAATTGTAAATGATGAACTCATTCAGGAAAATATTTGACCACAAAATAACCAGATCAAACTCGTCACTTTTCAGATGTTTAGTTTGGGAAATTTAAGTTTCCTGCATATATTAACCTTCTCTCTCTCTCTTTTTTAAAAATCCAGAATATCTACTAGTTTTGATCGTTTAAAAAAAAATGTGAAGTTAAAAGTAAAGTATACATGCAACATTGAGCATCAGTGGAATTGACCAGAGTGATAACCTGTCAATTCTTAAAACCCAAAACAAAGAAATTATATATTAGTACTTCTACTTCTTAAACATACCATGTGGGGTTGGTAGTCAAGTCTATCCACAACCTTCTGTCTCGTGTACTTTCAATCAACTCTGGCACAGATGATCTTCATTGCCATGATGTCAGACTGTCCAGCATCTGTTATCTCGGTCTCTCTCTGCCTCTCCTCCCCTCGACCTTTCCTACTGTCACAATGTACTCCAGTTTTCTCCTTCTCATCGCGTGACCAAAGACTGTAGATGGTTTTTTTCTGATGTATTAGTACAAGTAGGCTTAAAATAGAGCACATCATGATGTTGAGAAAGTTGGAGGGGTAAAGTAGTCGAGGTAGGCTGAAAGAGAATATACTTGACAGTTTGATGTCATGGCATAAAAGATCATCTGTGTCAGGGCAGAAGGTTATTTATAGTCATGCAACAAGGCATGGACTTGAAGAGAAAATACAAGCAAGCAGTCTAGAAATTGTGTATGTAATATTTGTATAAATCTTTTCTTTGTTTTTCAAACCAAATATGTCATACCAATAGGAGACTTAGAAAATGACAGACAAAAAATGGTGATAAGAGGCTAGGTGTCATCGGTGTAAGTGTTGGTAGGTAATGATTACACTGGAGAAGGTGTCACCTGACATTTTCCTTGTCACTTTATCACCGGATATTTTGTCGCTTCACTGTTGAGAATATACAGCATTGTATACTAGTAACTGGTAGCTTTCAAACGTTACAGTTTCTGCATGAATGGCGTAAGCATTTAGCGAGCATTCTTTTCGCAATGTTTGAGATGTATTTTTTGTGTTAAATAATGAACAGTGATAATAAATAGTAAAATCATTTTTTTTGGCAATGGAAAGTGAAAGCGGCAGTTACATGCACAGCTCGCTCGCCACAGCTGAGATGAGGTTTCTGAGAACAGCACCCAACATACTGCAGAGAGAGATCAGAAACTGAAACCAGAAAAAAAAAATTGAGTATACTAGCTGCATGATATTTTGTTAGAAAACAAGAGGTGAATGGTTCAGTCATCTAACTCTGTTGCCAATAGCCACTAGACCAATATCAGCAATAATGTACAGACAAGAGGGCATCAAAAAGAGGCTGGCCATGCATTTAGTGGACAGGAGTAACAGAGTCTGTGATAAGCACGTGAGGCACACAAGTACAGTCTCTCAAACTGCTTGTACCTCACCTCGATATCATATGGTACAAGTGCAACAGGATAAGTTCCGATAATTGATATGTGATTGCAGGCAAACAGGACTGGAAGAAGTCCAAGAAAGATGTGAAGAGTATGAAACAGAAGGCAGCAGAGACAAATGAATTCACACCACAGGCAAGTCACTGTTGAAAAAATAAAGTATTTTTGTTGTTGAAATTCCATGACTTTCCATTTGTATCTCCGCCTTTTTAATCCGATTCTTCCCCGTGTGGGTTCTGAGGTCCCATTGTAGGGGAAACAAGACTAGTCCCACTGCCTACCCAACAAGAATGTTGTAAAAGTCGACTAATTGGGGGTTTCATTCAAAGTCGGAGTGCATCAGCCTGAGAGGCAAGGAACCAAATGTCTGTGTACAAATTAAGGCTGTACCGAATAGTGATTTTCACTATTAGGCCGAATACAAATAACGGGACCAACTATTCGGCCGAATACCAATACAAATAGTGTTTAGTGTATAAAAAATATATCTAAAAAAACATTCATATTGTCAAATGTACGCTGAACTTTTACTTCACATAAAGTAGCACAGAATAGTCATCTTCTTCTTTAGCATTCTGAGCCCTTGAGGTTTACTGCTGCAGATATCACTTGTCTCCATTCATCTCCCTGGCTGGCCTTATCTTCACAATTTTTGACAATAGTTATTTGCAGGTTTGGCTGGACATTATCTCTCGAACTTCTTTTTTGTCTGCATCGTGGTCTACGACCATTCCTCTCTCAGGTGTATACAGTTTTTACTTCTCTGTCATCTGACATTCTTTCAATATGCCCCAATCATTTTAGTCTGTTAGCTCTCATGATGCCAGTGATCAATGGTGATTTAAACAGATTATGTGTTACGCTGTTGCTTCTCACTCTCCACCTGTAAAATTTATGCGTGCGCAAAACTCATGCCCTGGAACAAAGCCAAAGTCTAGAAGTGGACAAACAACCCGGTCTTTCCGCTGCCGGGGTTTACAGCTGGTTCTGTTTATGGACTGTCTGTTTGCTTTATAACTGCAGTTGTACAGAGATTCCCAAGAATCGTCCCTGTAGCTACGGAACCTTGTGCAACTCTCTCCTAATGTAGTTCACTGTTCTGTAGGGAGAGACAGAGCCATATGATGTAATACAGTTGATTGTTTAGAGCTTAAACCAACCTGACACAGCATGGACCAGGGGATCTGGCTGACGCTCAACACTCAGGGGAAGGATGAGACGGACATACGATTAGATGGTTACTGGTACAATCGGAATTGGAACTCTTCACTTGCCGCTAAAGAAGGGACTTGAGCACTTATGGGAGTGTCCTGAGTGCTGTGATGTTGGTTCTTAATTCAACATTCACACGGCGTGGGCTATAACAAGAACTTATTGACAATCTGATAATTTGATTGTATTCCCTCTCAGATGTACTGATTGTTCATTTGTCTTCAGAATATTCTGTTAATCATTGGGCTGATCGTCACAGTGCTGTCTGGGCTCTACATGCTGCTGGTCTGGCACCTGGGAGTGACACCTGCAGGGGATGTGAAAGATAAGGCCCATGTGTAGCAGCTTGAGGGGCGTTTTCCCTCCACCCACCACCCGCCACCCACCACCCACCACCCGCCACTAGAGAACTCGGGTGTTGGGAGTTTCTTGTTCATCTTCTTCTCAGTGTTCTCCAGCTGCAACTTGAGGCGTGAGGTTCTGGTTGTGCGCCCACTCCTGGACTTTGATCTGGATCGAAAACTTGAGGCGTGAGGTTCTGGTTGTGCGCCCACTCCTGGACTTTGATCTGGATCGAAAACTTCAGGCGTGAGGTTCTGGTTGTGCGCCCACTCCTGGACTTTGATCTGGATCGAAAACTTGAGGCGTGAGGTTCTGGTTGTGCGCCCACTCCTGGACTTTGATCTGGATCGAAAACTTGAGGCGTGAGGTTCTGGTTGTGCGCCCACTCCTGGACTTTGATCTGGATCGAAAACTTCAGGCGTGAGGTTCTGGTTGTGCGCCCACTCCTGGACTTTGATCTGGATCGAAAACTTGAGGCGTGAGGTTCTGGTTGTGCGCCCACTCCTGGACTTTGATCTGGATCGAAAACTTCAGGCGTGAGGTTCTGGTTGTGCGCCCACTCCTGGACTTTGATCTGGATCGAAAACTTCAGGCGTGAGGTTCTGGTTGTGCGCCCACTCCTGGACTTTGATCTGGATCGAAAACTTCAGGCGTGAGGTTCTGGTTGTGCGCCCACTCCTGGACTTTGATCTGGATCGAAAACTTCAGGCGTGAGGTTCTGGTTGTGCGCCCACTCCTGGACTTTGATCTGGATCGAAAACTTCAGGCGTGAGGTTCTGGTTGTGCGCCCACTCCTGGACTTTGATCTGGATCGAAAACTTCAGGCGTGAGGTTCTGGTTGTGCGCCCACTCCTGGACTTTGATCTGGATCGAAAACTTCAGGCGTGAGGTTCTGGTTGTGCGCCCACTCCTGGACTTTGATCTGGATCGAAAACTTCAGGCGTGAGGTTCTGGTTGTGCGCCCACTCCTGGACTTTGATCTGGATCGAAAACTTCAGGCGTGAGGTTCTGGTTGTGCGCCCACTCCTGGACTTTGATCTGGATCGAAAACTTCAGGCGTGAGGTTCTGGTTGTGCGCCCACTCCTGGACTTTGATCTGGATCGAAAAACTTGAGGCGTGAGGTTCTGGTTGTGCGCCCACTCCTGGACTTTGATCTGGATCGAAAACTTCAGGCGTGAGGTTCTGGTTGTGCGCCCACTCCTGGACTTTGATCTGGATCGAAAAACTTCAGGCGTGAGGTTCTGGTTGTGCGCCCACTCCTGGACTTTGATCTGGATCGAAAACTTCAGGCGTGAGGTTCTGGTTTGTGCGCCCACTCCTGGACTTTGATCTGGATCGAAAACTTCAGGCGTGAGGTTCTGGTTGTGCGCCCACTCCTGGACTTTGATCTGGATCGAAAACTTCAGGCGTGAGGTTCTGGTTGTGCGCCCACTCCTGGACTTTGATCTGGATCGAAAACTTCAGGCGTGAGGTTCTGGTTGTGCGCCCACTCCTGGACTTTGATCTGGATCGAAAAAACTTCAGGCGTGAGGTTCTGGTTGTGCGCCCACTCCTGGACTTTGATCTGGATCGAAAACTTCAGGCGTGAGGTTCTGGTTGTGCGCCCACTCCTGGACTTTGATCTGGATCGAAAACTTCAGGCGTGAGGTTCTGGTTGTGCGCCCACTCCTGGACTTTGATCTGGATCGAAAACTTGAGGCGTGAGGTTCTGGTTGTGCGCCCACTCCTGGACTTTGATCTGGATCGAAAACTTCAGGCGTGAGGTTCTGGTTGTGCGCCCACTCCTGGACTTTGATCTGGATCGAAAACTTCAGGCGTGAGATTCTGGTTGTGCGCCCACTCCTGGACTTTGATCTGGATCGAAAACTTCAGGCGTGAGGTTCTGGTTGTGCGCCCACTCCTGGACTTTGATCTGGATCGAAAAACTTCAGGCGTGAGGTTCTGGTTGTGCGCCCACTCCTGGACTTTGATCTGGATCGAAAACTTCAGGCGTGAGGTTCTGGTTGTGCGCCCACTCCTGGACTTTGATCTGGATCGAAAACTTGAGGCGTGAGGTTCTGGTTGTGCGCCCACTCCTGGACTTTGATCTGGATCGAAAACTTCAGGCGTGAGGTTCTGGTTGTGCGCCCACTCCTGGACTTTGATCTGGATCGAAAACTTCAGGCGTGAGGTTCTGGTTGTGCGCCCACTCCTGGACTTTGATCTGGATCGAAAACTTCAGTTTTGCAAGTGTATGGTATGTGTTTTGTAGTTCTGTCTTATTTTTAATCAAACTGTTGGTTCCTTGCCTCTCAGGCAGATTGAAGGAAACACTCCTAATTAGGTGGCTCCTACGACATGTTTGTAAAAAAAAAAGGGGGGGGGGGGGGAGGGGAGTGTGTTCTCTGTTCTCTGAATTAGATCTCTGGAACCCACACTGGAATTGAGAGTTTGCGCTAGTTTTTAAAAGTTATCGTTGAATGATTTGATGTTGTAGAGAACAAACACGATACATCGACTGCATATGATTAAACACATGCAAATAACTCTTGTCGAAATTTTCATTTATTTTATAAGTTTGTTATGAGCACACCAAAGTCACCTGACATGTTTGATTTATAATGAGCGTATTTGATTTGATCACCGAGAAAGTAATTGTGATTTTGTAATTGTTTTCCTTTGGTGACTTTAAGGGTAGACATGATCTTCTAGGACTGAAAGAATTTCTTTTCAATCAATCAATCAATCAACCAATCAGTCAATCAATCAGTCAGTCAATCAATCAATCAATCAATCAATCAGGTGCCATCTCCCTAGTGAAGGTTGACTGCAAAGGATCTCCAGCATGCTCCCACTTGTATCGTTGCCCACATCTTGCTGTCTTGTCTTTCACTTTTCCCTCTAGTATGGTTTTTAAAAGTATCCTAGATCTTTTAATGTGGCTAAAATATTTCAATTGTCCCTTTAAAAAAATTTCTCTCAAAAATTCTCTTTTCATTTGTACTCTTTCCACAGCAATTAAACAAAAAAATCTTAATAAAAAAGAACAGCTACATTGTTAGGGGAACAAAAGTCCCCAGAACTGATGCAATAGAATACATATTTTGTATTTTCGACATTATGTGCAGCAATTATTTGTACATAGATTTTATTTGTGTGTTTTTTTGTACAATTTGTGTAACCTGTTTCAATAGATGTATTGTTGAAAAAATTAGATTTACGGCCAGTTAATTGGAACAGAACTGTTGTATATTGAGGAGACCCTTTTGTTTTGATATTTGTTAACCATGAACAATAGACAGACAGGCTGATTCTAGACAACAGACTAGATAGCAGGAAAGATCTGTCCAGTCCAGTGAAGACAGTTATGTGTGAGGTGTCTGTCTGGCCAAGCATTGTCACAAGTGAGGTGTCTGTCTGGCCAAGCATTGTCACATGTGAGGTGTCTGTCTGGCCAAGCATTGTCACATGTGAGGTGTCTGTCTGGCCAGTCATTGTCAAAAGTGAGGTGTCTGTCTGGCCAAGCATTGTCACATGTGAGGTGTCTGTCTGGTCAAGCATTGTCACATGTGAGGTGTTTGTCTGGCCAAGCATTGTCACATGTGAGGTGTCTGTCTGGCCAAGCATTGTCACATGTGAGGTGATTGTCTGGCCAAGCATTGTCACATGTGAGGTGTCTGTCTGGCCAAGCATCGTCACACATGGCTGCCCTTAGACATAAAAAAAAAAAAAAATTCCTTAAGTTCGTGGGACAACTCTGAAGGCATCTAATTGGTTTGATTGGTCAACCATCAGCACACACTATAGTCTCACAGTAAAAGTGAAGATGTCATTTATTGGGCCAGCTGGTTGGAACCTCTTGTGTGTCTGCAGTTTTGTCTTCTGACTGAGATAATCTCTATTCTTTTTCTTGGCATTCACCGGCTGTAAACTCCGGCGGAAAGTTCTGGTTGTTCAGCCACTTGTGGACCATTCTTTTTGCAGAACTTGAGTTCCATGCACATCCGTTTCACAGGCCTGGTTTATTTGTTTGCAGCTTGTTGGTTTCTTGCCTCTCAGGCACACTATGACTTTGAAAGAAACACCCATAATTAGTTTCCTTTTTTGCGACACACTTGTTGGTGAGAGAGAGGTTGGTCTATTCCGCCCAGGACCCACACAGAGAGAGGTTGGTCTATTCCCCCCAGTGGGACCCTAGGACCCACAAGGGAAGCTGAGATCATTATTATCCACTTACTATCTTATTTATATGAATGCAGCTCAATGTCTGTTATTTATCCGCATAATTATCTATATCTTGTTTTTAGCACATTTCTTTGTTTAAATTGTTATTCTATAAGATTGTTATTATATGCAAGTTTATTGTATAAAATTGTTTTTGAAGAAAAGCAGCGTACCAGTTTATCTATGCATATTTCATGGCCACCATTCATTGATGTTATGTTCTAGTGGCAGTGACAGATGTGATGTTCTAGTGGCAGTGACAGATGTGATGTTCTAGTGGCAGTGACAGATGTGATGTTCTAGTGGCATTGACAGTTGTGATGTTCTAGTGGCAGTGACAGATGTGATGTTCTAGTGGCAGTGACAGATGTGATGTTCTAGTGGCAGTGACAGATGTGATGTTCTAGTGGCAGTGACAGATGTGATGTTCTAGTGGCATTGACAGATGTGATGTTCTAGTGGCAGTGACAGATGTGACGTTCTAGTGGCAGTGACAGATGTGACGTTCTAGTGGCAGTGACAGATGTGACGTTCTAGTGGCAGTGACAGATGTGACCTTCTAGTGGCAGTGACAGATGTGACCTTCTAGTGGCAGTGACAGATGTGACCTTCTAGTGGCAGTGACAGATGTGACCTTTTAGTGACAGTGACAGATGTGACCTTCTAGTGGCAGTGACAGATGTGACCTTCTAGTGGCAGTGACAGATGTGACGTTCTAGTGGCAGTGACAGATGTGACCTTTTAGTGACAGTGACAGATGTGATGTTCTAGTGGCAGTGACAGATGTGATGTTCTA